TTCGACTGCTGGTTTTTGCCCTTGCAAACCAAATGCGTGTAAGTTCAATCTAAAAATCTGTGTGAGCTTAAGGTGTCGGCGATTTTTCCTTGCCAGAACCTAAGGCGAATATGAACAGCAAAATTCGTGCACCAATAACATTAAACCAATAACCAATAACATTAAACAGATAATAAAGTCTCAGGGAAAAACAATGCATGTTCATCATATTTTTGGGATTTTTTTCACAGCGAAGAGCTCCGGATATCTATTATGTTGAGGCAATGTTCCTATATATAAAAATGCCATTGGTTTTTGTACAGATGAAGGCCATATTGATCTATTAGCATACGTTTTGCTCGTAACATCCGATTTTGGCTAAGGAAAACCAACGCAGCTTTCGAGTTGACTAAATTCTACAGATATTTTAACAAACTAATAATATACGTTCAATGCAACGATTAAACAAGCTGTGTCTTCAACACTGCTAGCCCCAGCAGTTGCAGGTAGATCTCGTGTGACAAACATCATAGTCCCGGACTGGGCTACTAGAGTCAATTGTCACACAATCGACGATCAGCTGAAGAGTCAGCGTAGCATAGAGTCGATTCTCGATCAGTTTACTCTGGTAGAATTTTACTTCCGGATTCACTATAGAGATTAACTTAGTCAGATTTCAGAGACACATGCATGCATACTATACATTCAGCAGTTATTTTCTGTTGGCTTAAACAAAAAGTAAGATCCACCTATATTCTCGATAACTTTCTCTCATCATAGACGACAATGACTCAGGGGAAATAATGTCTCCGGCGTTATGTCAGACGGCCACGATCTTATAAAAGAAAGATCCTGTAACTCGAATGAACTATGCATATTGATGCGGATTCCCTTCGCTTGAATTCGCCATTAAACTCAGCCAATATTCCAACGTACCCGTTTCACGCCACATTCTAGTACCACAACTACCCTCTTATACATGCTGATGTTAGCATACGCGTGACCATGAAAGTTCCAAAATAAATATTTACAACAATTAGTACGTACTGATTTCTGTAAATATATGTATAGTGTCTGTAACGACGTTCCTCAAGAACAGGTTTTCTTTTTTAATTTGAATACTATAGCTTTTCAGGTGAATTCTAGTTCAGCTAGCTGGTAGAAGAAAATAGAACAGCTTGAATGTTTTATTATTAGTTGGGTTCTCTCAAATGAATCAAATTCAGTAGGTTATTAGTTCGATAGCAATAAACAACCACCAACAGCACGACCACACCTTTGAATTGTTATGTTACAAGAGAACAACCAAAGACCATGACGACCTGTTACCTTAAAACAAGTAAATTACTTACCGCCCACAGAATAGAGCTTCACAGAGGTGCCTCAAAAGAAGCAGCTTGTCTAACTACAAGACGGGTCGTTCATGGACAACAAAGAATGCTCCTGACAGCCCACAGTCCGTAGGCATTTGAACAACTTAGTACTAATAGCAGCTTACGGCCAGCTACCGAGAAAAAACGCGTCATAGATCAATCTATTAACTTGCCCGGGGGTTTTTATATGACGTTCCAAATTCCTGGTACATCCCACTGGCGGTGTTCATACCTAAAATCATCAAGGTGTTTCACATATTCAGCCACATCCAGTTAGTACGACAACATGTTGACACAAGTTCCTGTTACTGCTAATCGTACTTCGTGCTGAGTCCGATAATTGTAAATCCGAATTATTGATGAACTGTTATATGTACTATATGTCCGGGCGTCCTGGTCGCCTGCGTTCAAGCAACATAAAACCGGAATTAAACGTAGTACTATACGTAATCTGGCCATTACTAAACAGTTTATACTGCTTTCATACACACATATATACACATGAACGGGCCACTCGTCCTAGTAATTTTATGCGCTGGAAAGCAATGCTAGTCGACTCGTCATTACTAGTTCCAGATGGAACGAACGAACTAATGACGACAATGAGATGAGGGAAGGAGTAAAGAGTTCAAGCGAAGGCTAGCCAACCAGACAGACAAACTGCTAGGCCATCAGGATGAGCCGGAACTGCTTCTGTGACACTTCAGCAAATGCATAAAATCCGCAGTTTCGGCCACGTACCTAGGTAGTTATCATATTGTTGATGAACAATAAGTTAAACTCCACCATTAACATTCAGGTACAGACTTGGTGTTCTTCCATAATCCCACTAAATATAGTACAGTAATGCTGAAGCGCTGCAAATTAGGACGGATGTTTATTTTGCTTCATCCTTTTTTTTTTTTTTTTTACTAACTTTCCCAGCCGACTTAAATGCTGCAGTAGCCTGTCTGTACAATTAATAGATTTAATTTGTGTACCACCAATCATGAGGACGACAGCTCGTCCGCGCCAGCACGGCCAACTCTTCCAGCCAAACGTTCTCGCCCGGGCAGGCGAACACAAATCGAGCAGTAATCGGCGCGCACACACACGCCCCGAACTAGTGTCTGCTTTATTGGCTGCATTGCTTTGACACTCATAATGTGCTTCTGCATCTCTTTTGTTCTGCTCGGCATCGTCGTCGCGGTACCCCTTGTCGTCGGAATCGCCGTCGTCATCGTCATACATCCGTTTTTCGTCGTCTCCACGTTAGTTTCTTCCCACGAACGTTACTTAAAACGACCCCGAGCCGAACACTACGTTGCTGTTGTACAACCGGGGGAGGGGGGAGGGGAGGGAGGCAGCCGAATGTAAAACTACCAGAACTACCATCATCGCCACGAGCGATCTATGGCCACAAGGGCTACAGGCTCCATACATAAGCACCGCACGGACGGAAAAACGAACGGACAGTAAGCGCGGTCGGTTGGCGAACAGGCAAGTAAGCCAGCAACAGACCAACATAGCTATCATCAAACGGCGAGCACTGCTGCATCGATAGAATTTCGCGTAGAACTACCGATAGAACAGCAGCTGTAATAGTAGCACTCGCAGCTCTGTGTTGCTGCCACCGTTGCTGCAGCAGAACTATCTCCGCAGCACACAGCAAACTATAATAACATCACAGCATAGCGGCGGCGGCAGCAGCAGCAGGAAAAAAAAGAATATTTGAATAGCGTCGTTGCTACTGCTGCTGCTGATATCAACTGTAACAGCGGAGAGAAGTGGAATGACGTTGGACGGTGGTCCCTCGATATTCGCTCGCTTGCTGTTGTTTGGTTGTATCGTTGCAACTAGCCACCACTTGAGCCGGCCGTTGCCTGTTATTGGCTCGTGGTCATGAGCATGGACGTGCTGCTGTCGGTTGGCAGTTGAACGGAAGAAGGCCGTCAACAGAGACAACGAGAAAGTAATGCTCACAACAGTCAGGTATATAGTTATAGCAGCAGCATCTGCTAAAATAGTAAAAATGAGTCCTCCAAAGCGACAACAGGCAAATACTTTGGAACAAGCATGCAACATCGAGGTCCTCCAGCCCCACTAGCAGCAAAAGAAATAAGCAATTCCCATAATGACACAGGAAGAGCAGCACCTGAGCGCCGGCAAAGCACTTCTCTGACATGTCCCACACGAACAACAACAACTACAAAAACAACAAACACAGAATATTAGAACAAACGAATAGTACCACAGGTAGCGTGGGACAGTATCACACAATATTGTTAAAAATACACGCAGAAAGCTAAATGAAAAGTAGTCTACACAATTGGTGATCATGTCGTATCAGCATTTTGCGACAACTTCAGATTCTGACTGATGCTTCCCCATCTCAGTCCTGATTAATATACTCTAATTCTGATATTAGGCAATCGCAACGTATTGCAACAACGCGCAAAAGGGGGAACCCAGCTGAGACAGAAAACTGAATAGAAGAACAGAAGCATCAAGGTGTGTGTCTGTGTACGCGTGTGTGCTAGGGATGGGGTCGATGCAACCGACACACGCGTCTGAGAGCACAATCGTCGTAATTGTTATGCATACATATATGATGCACACAAGGTTAGTGATCACACGCACAAACGAACAATCGCAGATATGCACAGTTACAATGGTAAGGTTTGTACGCGCGCGGTGACCGTTATCCAGATCAAGATGAGTCAGTCAATAGTGAACTGCGACTGTAATTGTGACAAATTCTGGAGTAGTAACGGTGGAATTATACGAGTGTTTCCGATAGTGTGCACACATGTATAGCATGTAAGAAACCAGGGCATGACGACCATACATAAGAACACAGAACAATACAGCCTGAGCGAGCAGGTAAGATAACAGACGAAGTGCAACAAAATACTGCCAGAGCAGCTAGTTGTGGTTAGTTTTTTGGGTGGCTCACATAACTCCCGCTCATGGCAGTATCGAATGAAGGCTGACCAGCCTATTCATAATCAATCGGAGCACCCCAACACTTTAATGATTAAAATCCTTTTATGAATACGAATATCATATAGATTTTGTTACCTACAAAACAACTCTTATTACAGTCTTGTGTCTTGATTTCGGTCATGACCGCAGAAAAGAATCGCGGCAAAAAGTGGTTAAACAACCAACACCTAGAGCAGCTAAAGTTAGCGGAAAACCTCGTTCATAGATTGAGGATGAGGTTCTGCTAACCTAAAACATTTTTGCATTGTCCTTGGAAATAATCAAAACAGAATGAAAGTAGAAACTAACTCAAAAATGTTATAAACAGGAACGGCGGAATCAAGAAAAATACCACAAAGTTGCTTAAGATAGTTCTTATTATGAAAGTCCATAGCTGATATTGCTGATTGCTTTTATCGTACTGGCTAATCCTCCTCTCCTTGGCTCAACAAGCAAGCAAAATACTAGAAACAAAAGAGACAAAGACAGTCATCTTAAGTGCTCCCGGCCAGATACAAAAACAATGTTTTACACTTTCTAATCGCCCTGACCTATAAATTATAACAATAAAAAGATTACAATAAAAAAAAACAAATATTTTGTTTAAAGTGTTTCCGTTCTGCTATCGTACTTCCTAAGCGTTTGAATCAGTTTCTATTCCTCTGCGTTTTATTCAGTTCCTACCTTTTTATCATCTCCCGCTGTAGCAACGACTTTTCCACTTTTTCGTCCTATGGAAATGCAGTTCACAACGGCGCCGTGTGCGACAAATTCGTGCACTTTCGTTGCCCGTCGTGCTGCACAAGCCATCGCACAGGACCGTCAAAGACACCCCCTTGACACACTAACGATACTGGCTCAGACCACTAACCAAAAATCCAATGAGTCTAGTTTAGTTCCTTTCCTTGAAGAACTTCACTTAAATTTCCCCCAGCCAAACAGTTTTTCTGCTGTTGTATAACACGTAACAGACACGCCACACGTAATCCTGGCGAAGCATTCACGATGTTTTTCTCTGCGCCAATTCCTATCGAGTGAACGGCGTACAAGACAACAAAACAAAAAAAAAAAAACTTCCTGTACACACACGCTGTCACATTCACATGGAGCACTAGAGCTTGGCACACAGGCTTTAGGACCTAAACAGGAGATAGCTTGAAATAACTTATTTTTCGTAGTTTAATGTTGCTATGTTGTAGCAAAAGTTGTTCGACCTGGCCGGATACAATTTAGGCGTTGTTGTACGAATTATAATGCTCAAATTATGATACTATTTTTATTGTTCTCTCTAAGGGAAGCAGTAGTTCAACACTAGTCGACCAGCTTCGACCAGTGCTTCCCAACATCTGATGGATATTCACCACTAAACGTACCACAGTCACGACAGCGTGGCACTGTTTGTGGCACATATAGGAGAGGGCGCGAAAGCAGATTGAAGCTGCGGAGACGATAGCAGGAACTGCCCGCCACAAATATCCGCAATGTTATATATACACCCAGATACTCACTCACACACACACACACACGCCCATATACAGTTGATAAGCGACGATACTATCCAAATTTCTGTCATAGGACAACAGTCCTTATTAAGAACTAACTGAATTCACACGAGCACATGACAATAAGCAGAGTAACGACAGAAGTTTTACGTTTAGATTTGAATGTGGACTAATCGAGAAACAGATGGCAAAAGGTGGCGCGTTTTGTTCAAACGACCCGTACGCTGTTCCATTTATTAGGGCACTATTCGACGGAAAGTCGGTTATATTCTTGCATTATCGAACGAGTAGGGTTTTGCGCGAAGTGGAGTTTCCTGTGGAACTCCGATTCAGCACATTAGAAAAAAATACAACGTATTAGTTTAGGTGGAGCGGAAAGATGCAGACATTACTGAGAGTTTGCAGAAATGTGCTGACGGCAAGGGCGCCCGCCGTCTGGACAGAGCCGCAAAATCGTGATTTGATGGTCGATGCCAGAATGTATCGTGACTATAAACGCCGAAAGGTGAGCTAACGGTGCACATTTTATGTACCTATTTACATTGCTTGAAATTTAATGCAGCTCTGTTTGCATCGAGTTATTCTATATACCTTTGATACATTTTGAGGCAAAAGAAGGTCTTCTATATTGAGTGAAATATTGGCATACAGATACAAAATAATAAAACGCATCTATCGTGCGAAGTGTCATATTCTGTTGGCAGAGGTGGAAGATGGTACATTTACATTACATTAACTGTGCACGATACTGAGGAAAGAAATATTTATCATTAGCTAACATTATACGGGTTTATTCGATTGGATAATGTTAATAACTTGTGAGCCTATGGGAAAATCGATAGAAAACATTTTAAATTATATATATATATATATATGTTTAGCTAGAACATCTGTGTATGTCAAGGAACCGGTAGAACGTATTTGAAGGCACAGCGCTTAATGTTACATCTAGTATAAACCTTAACCTTTCGGAAAATTAGAACAGTAATATTTCAGAGTATCCAATCTTTCCACCAAAAAGACTATTTTGCTGTTTTCACACTATAATATTGCTGAATTCGAATTTCAAAAATTGTTTCTAACTTATATCAAGAGTGCATATGGTTCTCGCGACCACATATATTTTCTATTCGTCAAAAAGCCAATTCATAGTAAGAATTGGACTCGTACTTTGTTGAGTGGGAAAATAGCATGTATTAAACTTCGACCTTTGTGAATTTAAGTAAGATCTCCTGGTCGTAATAAAGCATAATTGTTTTAGTAGGAAACGGAGTTGCTTTCCCGTTTAGTCGGTGTAGTGATCTAACTCCAATCTCAGAGCCAGGCCATCGTTCATAAAACATACCAATTTCGGCATTCAGAAGCAGTAAATATTTTCTTAGCATAAATTGTTTCTTCTTATGTTCTACCATTCACTTTCCAGCATATCAAAAATAGGCATAAAATGAGAACAAGAATCATTGCAAGGTGCAATAGGTTGGCAAAAGATTGCCTCGAAAAAATACGTTGGGCCTAAGTGCAGAAATGTTGAGAGTTGTAGGTCAAGTGTTAGCGCAGTATTTGGTAGCGCATGAGTTATAGTTCGAGATCAGACATTTTCGTTAGTGTGATCCAAAGCACTTGAGGGAAATGATAGGACCTCTCAGGGGTCCTTGACCCCTTAGCCGGCGTCGAGGACGTACCACCTATGAAGCTAAAAGGAGCCCAACGTGCTGTTATCCTTCGTCGCTCAAGCGAATCGTCACTGGATGATCCTTTTGATAGCAAGGCAACCTCCTGGAAAAATATGGACACCGGACTATATTGGGGTGTTAGTGCAAGAGTCTACGGTCAACACACTTAGGTGGTGCTATGGTGTATATGAGTTAGATTATACGGACACTATAATTCAAACAAAAAAGTATCTCTCATTATACTAGTAATGGATTCATTGGCTAGGCCGATCGGATTGATTCTCATGCAGATTAGTAATCCGTATTGATATGAGGTTTGTTTACTTATGGAAGTCTAGAGATACATCTGATGCTAAGCCACTAATACTTTTGTACGCGGCGTGCAAATGCAATGCTTCTATCGTCAGTGTTGGCTAATGTGGGTAAAAATTTTCACCAAAGTGGGGTGCAGATTTCGTTCTCACTCTGGAGCAGCGAACTTAATACGCATGGATATGAATTGAGTATAGGTTCGACTCAAGCTTGGCTTTCTAATCCTACGGAACAATGTTGTCTCATAACCTGTGATCTAAATGAGTATACCGTAGCGATGGTAAGAAAAAATATTTTGGTGTATTTTTCATTTGCCTCTAGATTTTTTTTCAAGGAAACTAGCAAGAACTTGTGTGATTTGCCAAATCCCCGGTATTGAAGCATAGATTTTTTACATGTACTTGTCCTCGCATCAAAGCATTTGAATCGTAATACGCTTTCGTTACTTAAGCACGTTTTGTAGCCAAGTCTCATACTGCATTTTGCTTAGAAGTAGGTGAGGTCCAGTACTTTAAAGTTTATTCATTATTTTGATTTTCTTGTTGCAATGTGGTTTGAAAGTGACGAGCTGCTTTGGAGGAACATTCATTGTTTCAAAAATTTGTTGTTACTCTATCTGTTCCAACGACATACCTGCTCCGCAAGTGCACCAAAAACTTTTGCTAGGCTTTTGCAACAAATTGGAGGCATTTACTTGAAATTTGAGTCTATTCTACTCACTAAACGATTGTGTTAACTTATGCCTTTGGCTGACCTTCTTTTAATTAAGTCCAAATAGAGGGAACCTCACATTAGCGCGTCTTAGGGTCCAGAAATTCGGGGGCTCCTGGGCTACTTCTCATTTTCATTATTTCCTGTTTTAATTTGATATTTCACATCAGCTGCGCTTAACCCCACAAAAGGTCATGTCGTTTCTTATCAATATTCTGTATGAGAATGTCTGCGTGCATTTGTTAGATTTGAAAAAAAATTAGTCGAAATAATCTTTGAAAATAAAGCTATTTTTTTACGACATAAATTTACATGAAATGACGCTCGCCGACAACCTTGATCCACGTGTCTTTCTAATCGTCGTCCGGCTAAGTTGCCTTTTTACTGTTAATGACTTGTCCTTATAGATAGGCCAACTATGACGTTAACAGAAAGAGAGATTCTAAGACTTCGTAACATTAGAAAAGTCGCATGGTATATCTCATATAATAACGTTTGTGCGAATGTGGTACATTTGATAATATGGTTGTGTGCATATACGTTATTTTATCGCTGGGTGTAAAAAAGAAATCGACCTTTTGGGTGTGCATTGCTTAACTCTAAAATGTTAATACAGTCTTAAATGATCTCGATAGGTAAGTACTGAAAATAGCAAAAGTGCGTTTTGTTGTATGAGGGTAAATTTAATTTATTCAATAGAAAATAAATCCACTGATATGTTTTCTTTATGGTTCTCCCACTGATACATGCAAACTAAGGATTTCACAGAATGTTCACAATTCAACGCAACCTTATATTCTAATAAAATAATTATTTTGAGTAACGTATGGTTCTTGTCGAGCTAAGCCGGCTAAACGCCGTTCTATGGAAGTAAACAGGGACTTCTCTTTCGGTTGCCAATTGAATGCATCTAGCACTTCTTTGTGAGACTCTAGACAGATAAGAAATTATTGTATTAACTGTCTTAAAAATTTAACATTTAGTAAAATGATTCGAGTCTTTAATAGTGACAGGCCAAAAAAGACTACGCCTCTAACCCCTGAATTTATATATAGGCAATGATTGGGTCGTGGAACTAAGCATTTAAATAAATATAGATTCCGTTTTATTGTCGATGTATAGCTCAAATCATGGCGCAGAGATGCCGTCAGTCGGTTATCTTACGGCTTCTGTCTTTTAAAAATTTTGCTACCTTTTGCGTGAACGATATCCTGTTATCCAAAAAGATACGTGACGGGACTAGCCGAGCTTAAGCTTGGCCGATTGTGATATCCGCCAGTCGCTTGACTTAAGCGCAAGCGCTTAACGTCTTTTTGGGTATTCCCTTTAATTATATTATTCTACGATGATACAAAGTACATTTGGTTTGCTGTTCAATAGAAAAACAAGAGCTTGCTGCAAAGTACCTATACCGAGCTAACTTCTTGGATGCAATGAGTTGTTTAATGCGTTATTTATTGACAATATGGATCTTCCATTGATACGATTGTGTGCGAAACGTAAAAACCCATTGCAAATAAACGGTGTACAGCAAACTCATAGACCTTGAACCTATGTAGAATATATATGCGAGCTTTCGTCAAGCTTATATGCGGCCTATGAAATCTCTACACAGCTAACAATGCGTGTTTTTTGCATACTGGCTTATCACTAATAACATGTGAATAGCATTCATAACTGTTAGCTATGAAACACTACTTAATCAGCTCAGAATTATGTGGCTTCCCATCTGAACACAAACTTGAAAGAGATTTAAGCATTTGCCGTCTTTGGCTGTCCCTCCAGGGTATTGGGAAGTCTGCGCGTATTCAGTGCTTACTGGCAGCTGTATTATAATTAGCGTTGAGCTTGTGAACCAGCATCGGGAACACGTTGTGGGGTATGGTTGACTGTGTCAAGGCTTCTCTGCGGGTTGGTCAAGGATTGATAATAATTCAATAGGAATATTATGTGACTGGTCTAGGCATCACTCGCAATGAAAACGTTTCCCTGCAGTGTCGTCAACAGTGAATGACGAGGTGACTTCTCAAGGGATCTGCTTTGGTCAAGCTAGAAGCCTGAAATAGGCGTTCGGGGAATCTAACTTCTGGTTTAATTTTATGAAGCCCCTACTAATCGTACGTTTTGTGGCAGCAGCAATTAGCGGGAATAGAGGATCAACAAAGCTCTTCGGTTAATGGATTCGATCGAGCTCCGTCGATGTAGATACAGAATTTGTCCAGTTTACTAAACTAGGTGTTCCATTAAAAGACACGGCTCGATTTCACTAGTTGTACAGTCACGAATGCACCTATTTCGTAATGAAATCGTTCGTTATGTGTGTTGTTACAAATGTTTAACATAGATATGGGTTTAAAGCTGACCGATATTTTTTTGTATTGAACGAACATATAATAAGGATTCTTATTGTCCAGAATAACTTAGCGATGACATAAAACAACAATGATATATACAAGAAAGAATATTAGTATGAACACCAAGCTGATTCCCTTCGTTTTCGTCATCCCCTTAGACGTGATTGCCAGCTAAAATATATTGCATGACAGTTTAATGATGTTTCAAAACCAAATAGATCTTAAACATATGTGTTTTTGCAAATGCATGTTCATTTATTGGCGAGGTTTTAGAAATAAGCATTACTGCCTTCGTGATATACTGCTTACTATAAATAGTGACACATGGCGGTCCAGGCTTGAACCTGAAGAAAGACACACTTCGTTTCACACTGGAAGGCAGCTGTCTGCAGTAACACCTAAGGCTTAAGTAGTGAACGTAGAATCCAAATGATGTATTTGTATTAGATCGGTTC